TATAACTTTGAAAGTAGAACCAATATTATTTAGTACTATGCTTGTCGAATATTGGCAGATTAAAAGTAAGAGGTACCTTCACGCATTTATAAAAAAGAGGACTCGTGCATAACGTTAAGGTCACATTCTACACGAAAAAAAACACGCACCTTATTTTATTATTAAGCAGGGTATTGATTACAAGAAGACAATCAAAACTATTTCATAGTAAACCGTTGTGCAAGTATCTTCACCGCTATGGTCATGTCATTGATTAAAGTAATTGAAGTGGGTAGGCTAAGACGGATGACATCTGATCAAAAACTATTTCAACAGACCCACATCCCACTGAATTTTTTCTTGATCGAATTACTGACAAGGTTATATTTTACGATTCATGGTCAATATCAATTATTGTAGTGCGCCTTTGTTTAGAAATAAATAATAATCCGCGTGAAGGTTGCACTGCCAAGACAAACTTTCTAGATCGGTTTTTGAAGATATGATGTTTAAAAAAACATATATCCACTAAAACGCCCCAGTGGTGTATGGTTTTTTAATGAACCTGGTCTCTATGGGTTGAAATTGAAGATCTACCTACAGCTGTAAATGACAAAGAGTAAAACCATTTAAGGTATGCAAAAAATTGGTGACAGAAGGAAGGAACTATTTATTTTTCAAATCAACTGAACGTTCAAAATGTTCGTTTCGTGTAGGAGCTACACCGCCAAGCCCCAAAATTTGTGTTTCACCTTTAGTTTCTTTCAAAATCAACCACAACACATCCAAGGATTTTGCAAAAAATTTCCGAAAATAGTGCTCTGGACGCACCATTCTAAGTTTGATCTATATTACTTTTTAGCGCATTTTGCAAATTTATTTGTAAAAAGTAGCTTTTAATCTCACTTTGGCTGGCTGGCTGGCAGCAAATGTGGGCGCGTAGAAGAACTCTTATAGAAAGGCAACGGGTGTACGTTTATCTACAGGGCCGTGAAATTTGTCAACCTTAGGGACATGGCTACGTGATGTGGGGTTGGCGACATCTGGGCGTCATCCTCGAGCGTAGTATACTAACGTGAAGGTTTTTCAGTTTTTTCCTATCTTCTACAACAGTTTTGGTCCGATTCTTTTCAAATTGGTGTCGTCGGAAAGATGTTGTAAACGCGCACAACTCCTGCGTGGCGGAATTTTGTTTTTTGTCATAGGAGCGAAATTAACGACCTTTTGCGAGGCGCGCGGGCGCGTCTTCGAGAGGTAGTCTACTTTGGGCGCCTTTTACCTTCCGTTGCGAACTCACGCGGTTTAACGTTTCGTAAATCTCGAGTCGCTGTCTCTCTTTCTCGTGTCTCCAATAGAAGTGAATTGCGAGTGAACGGGACGTCGGAAGTGGGTACCGTCAAAGGGAATGTGGTAGCCCGCTTCACGATCTTATTGATGGTGTAGTCAAATCTTCAACCGCGAATGGCGGGTGAACGGGACGTCGGAAGTGGGTACCGCCAAAGAGAATGTGGTAGCCTCCGACACGATCTTCCTGATGGTGGAGTCAAATCTTCAAACGCGAATTGCGGGTGAACGGAACGTCGGAAGTGGGTACCGTCAAAGGGAATGTGGTAGCCCCCGACACGATCTTACTGATGGTGGAGTCAAATCTTTAAAAGCGAATTGCGGGTGCACGAGGAAAGTGGGAAGCGGTTAGTGAATGTAGTAGCCTTCGACAAGATCTGTTATTGACGGTTGAATCGAAAGTGGCTAATAGAATACTGATCTGCCACACAAAAATGCGCTGAAGTCCCTTCGATCTCAAACGAGGACTTTGATAATTTTTTTATAGCACTTTGTCACATCAGTCAACTAAACTGGTGCGAACTATCCTGATGAACAACTTTTCTACCGGCACTCAATTTGAATGAAGATTGAATAAATAACCAAATACGTTTTATTACGCATGGAAACTAATTGTCGGTTTAACGATTTTCCTATTTTCATTGCAGATGAAATGCCTACCATTTTGGAAAAATATTGTTGATAAATAAGGTTGATTCGTATGAAAAAATTTGTTTAGGAAAAAACTAAACACCCAAAAAATGATCTAGGTAAGATCTTCAATTATGTATCTTAATAACGAGAAAGTGATAGAGCATTAAACAAAACGACTAAATTCCAGAAACGCACCCTAGCGACCAAACAATTAAAAATAGCTGAATTCTCTTTGCACCAGTGATTTTCTTTTAAGCTTGACCGCAAGACACGTAGGTCCATTTTTTTCCATCTCTTACAATAAAGGGTATTTCCATAGGAAAGTGTCCAATTTGGACAACCCTATACACGATGTAAGGTGGCTTAGTTGAGAGAAATTTCTGGAAAGGTTTTATAATTTTTAACTGCGGCACGCATCATGGATGGTTTTTTTAAGCAGATATAACAGACATCTGTAATAGGTCCAACGTTGATCTTCAAGGAAAAGGTAAAATCGTTATGGAAATGATAAGTTCCACAAATACCTTACGTTGTTGCTGAAATCACAATTTAAAAAAAGTGTTCTAATTTAAGAAGACTCGAGCCCTTAGAGAAATTATCCGCAATGTAAATAAATAGATACCTTCCTCTGACACTCCATTTCGCGACAGGTATTCACAAATCGCCATCCGTAGATACGTCTCGTTTAAGCGTACCAACGGCCCTTTGAGAGTATCCTCCTCCGACAATTTAATTCTTTCCGTTAAAACGTTTCATTAGAGCGCCATGATAGATAAAAGCGCCCCCCCCCCGCGCCCTCTATTTTGATAAGGGGTAAGGAAGGCGGTAGTACGTAGAAAACCGTTTCTTTCGTTGAAACCTTTAATTGGCATATCATGAAAGGTAAAATAAATTTCAAAATTCCAGATCTACAGGAAAATTCCCCTAAATGCAGTTTAAAACAACAGAAGTGGATCCTGACAGACGGACAAAACCTCAAAAATAGCAAATTTATTCCTTACCTCTACGAAGGTGTTTCTTCACAAATGAAATACATACCGTACTTATTTTACCAATGAACACAATCCTGTATTCCTTCGAGTCTCGATAATTACGAACAATCGTTTGATAAATTAATCGAAAATATGCAGTGTCATGCGTCAACCTCAAAATAAATAAATATTCGTTTCTCTTTTTCAATGTTTCGATAATTATTTCTTGTATACTGCATTCATTCTTTAATTTTTTTGAAATATCCCTCACAAGAAAACTCTTTCATAGTACAAGTAGCTGGTAGATCGTGCAGGATTGTGCAAAATAGTAGATCAAACGATCAAAAAGTTAATCACCTCTACTACAAACCATTATACTGCAATCCATTATCTATACGTAAACAAGATTACAACTAACAAATAGTAATTAGTATACGAAACATGTTTGTACAAATAGTTTATTTACACATAAATATTTCAGATCGCAAAAAACACTGCCCGTGGTCTCATGGCAGGGTGTTTAAACCAGCTGGGTCAAAATCAATAGACTCGTTTCCCTGATGATCTTAAATTGCTACGCGTATTTTGATGGGACTATGGTAGTCAAACTTGTAGACAGACAGACATGATAAAATCTAAAATGACATCTAATAATTAGAATATGAGTGCTTGTATTTTATAAAACAGAATGTTCGTTCAAGACAAAAATAATGATCACCATGGCATTGCATTACTAAGTGAAGGTTAATGGCCAATGACCAATTATGTATAATTAACAACAAATTAAAATACTTCTTGATCTCAATTTATCTAGCAATAAACGGAACAATAAGAAAAGAATCAAAAGCAATTTTACAACTTGTTGAATGCCGAAGACCAAAACTTAAAAAAACAAAAATGGCTTTAACTTCGAAAGCACCGGGCTCTCACCAAACGCTTTCGTTTGGTTTGCAAAAAAAGTGTTTTAATTCATGAAATGATGGTGATTAGATTTGCGGTTTCCCAAATAATTCCCGGTAAACGAAAATGTGTGACGTCACTGGTCACGACATCGAAACATTCGACAGGGAATAAATCAATGTTGTTAGTACGAGTTGCTAAGAAACGCGCTAAAGAATTGTGCAGGTACCGAAAACTCTATCGAAATCCGTTTAATTTAAATTCCGGAAACCGGAAGAGCGTGACATGCGAATTTTTACGTGAATCCGTTAGAAATAACGCTCTAAATATAACGACAGCTGATAAAATCTGATCGGTTGTACTTCAGAGTGAACCGTGACTATTGAAACAAAATTAAGTAAACGTGTAAATCGGAGTTGGCTTGTGGAATTTACTAGCGATTTTTTTTTTACCATTGCTAGTACAAAGCCATGCTCTTTATGCTTGTACGACAACGCCGGTTCGATTTCGTGGAGTATACGCCAAAGTAAACGTAACTTTATTACTTAACCAACCGGTAAATCGATATATTAAAGGTTACTTACCGACTTTGCACAAGTTGAGCACTTTTATGGCAAATAACACACAAATTAAGAAACGAACAGCAATGGCGGTACTTCGTTGTAAATAATAATGGAGCTTGTGGGCAGATATTGAATTGCGCATGTGACGATGTATATTGCGCCGAATAGTTTCTGCTTGCGCCATCTATGGCTCAGTATATGCTAGTATAGGGAGCTGTACCTAAAGATCTAGTATGATCTTTGCTGTACCTAAGCATTGTTTAAACAATGCTCTAGTACAGCTTTGAATGTAATTCAAAGAGTACAGTACATTTACCATTTTTTTCCGTATTTAAACAAATTATGCCCTGCTCTATTTTAGTTTTCGCATTGTTCAAGTAATGGACAATAAAAACTAAATACCTACCCTCTACCGGACGGACAAATTAGTAGCACTTTTTAAATACGCTAAAAATACGCTTAAATAAAAGCAAAAAAAATATAATATGGCATGTGTCCACGTGTACTGGATTTTAATTACATGAAAAAGGAACCAAAAAACGAGTGTGTGATTTTGAACTTTCTGTGCGACCGTCCGTCCGTCTGTGTACATACATGATAACTCACGAACGGTTTCGAATTTTCCAGTTCTGGTTAAAGTAATAGGTAGACAATGGTTAAGGAACTAATAAGTGATTCAATTTTGGTCAATAATCGTCAACCGAAAGTGACCTTGTAGCTCGTTGGTGCATTGGTGCAGTTTATTAGGATTTAGGAAGATGTCTCTTTATACATTTTTCTAAAGCGAGCACAACGTTATAATACAGGGTGTAAAAACGATTTACATATATAGGGACTTCAATGGTAATTTATTTATACTTATACCTATTGAAATATTTTCTCCCCTCATTATTTCATAGCAAAGTTGTGAATACATTGTTTGTAGTAGATTGGAAAGTTCTGATTGTGTGTCTATTTCATGTGCCCATTTGTAATTTTTTGTTGTGTGAAATCAGAGAAATCAAGGAAATTATAAATTACAATTATAAATCTCATTTTTGTTTCAATAAATTTCATGGGACGAGTGATTGTAGTAAAAATCACTGGTGTCGTGAAATTATTGAAACAAAAATTTGATTTTTACGTAAATACTAAATTGTAATTTATTTCTTTTTCCGGTTTTCCAAATCGAAAAATAATAAACGAGAACATGAACAGACGCAGAATTTTTCAAGCTACAAAAAACCTATTTACAACTTTGCTCTAAATACATTAGGGGAGAAAATACTTCGATGTAAAGAAATTAGCATTGAAAATTGAAAACCATTTCTATCTTCTAGTCTTTATTGAGATATTTGAAAGAGTCTCCAAACGCCATTAAAAACATGTGCGTCTATTAGCTTTTAGGTGCACTATACAGTCTTCTAAATTCCATAAAAGAGCACGAATCTTGAAGGTAATTCGATAACCTTCAAAATTTTGGAAGGGCTTCCAAGTGTAACTAAGATCCTGTAGGGGTTTTTACAGCCTCAAAGAGCTAGGCCTGGAGTGCTTTGAAGACATGAACGTGAGTCTTATTGAGAAAATCACAATGTTTAAGAGTAGGTATTTAAAGCCCTTTATTTTTAACTTTAAGTAATTAAATTTAAGACATTTTAGAAGTTTTTTTAGATGAATTTTTCCATTATTATTGTTGTGATTTCGAAGGATGTTTGTGGTAAGTATATACCTATATGAAACAACAATTTGTTTGTTGTTTTATATATACACCTACAACAAAGGTTGTTTGTAGTAAATACCTATATAAAACAACAAGTTGTTTGTTGTTTTATATTATATACTTAGGTACCACAAACAACCTTTTAGGTTTTAGGTTTAGGATTGGTGAGTAGATTTACGCCATCGTTAGCCACCAAATGTTTCTTTTACAAAAGCTTGTTCTTTACATCCGTTCATAGGAAGGTTTTATTTAATCTTCCATTCCTGAATCTTGAATTTCAAACTCATTACGAGACATACGGGTTTATAGGTGCGTTTAAAGATCTTTATAGGAGCCTTTTTAAAAATCGACGAGTATGGGGGAGGTTTGGAGCCGTTTTACACTTCAGTATAAGAGTGACCAACAACCTCAAAAAGCCTCAATTTGTGATATTTATGAGACTCAGAACATGTAAGGGTTTTCCATGGGGTTTAAAGGTTTGCCATAACATTTAACAGGTTTTGTTTTGGGTATCTTCAGAAGTGTTACCTTATTTAACTTATCAAGAGTCTTCAAACGTCTTTCGCAATCTTTAAAAGAGGCCTATGGGAGCTATTATACAACATCTAAAGGTAATCGTTGCGGGCGTTCTTTAATTCCTTGTCGATGTTTAATCTCTGATAGAATGAAAATGATTGTTGATTGATGATGTTCTTCAGTACGACTGGTATTCTTTGACTTGATTTGATTTTATTTATTACTGTAGTTAAATTGAAGAGGACTATAGTAATTGAAGTGGATTCCGAATAGAAGAGCCTTACGGAAGGAAGAAGGAATTTTAAAAACAACTCTCGCCGCGTGTAGTGTTGGTTGCCTATTGCCATAAGCAGGTATATTCACCTATTCCAAATGAATAACGAAATCAGATTCACTCAACGGTTATTCCTTTTATTCAAAGGTTATTCACAGATAAAATACCGTATATTCCATGCATTGCATTGGGGTAAAAAATGCCCCCCCCCCCCTCACATTTCCGGCCAAACAGCTGATCCGATTGGAACAACACATCTTTTTGGAAATAAAAGAACATAGAACGCTTGTGTAGAAAAAATAGCGCCCCCCAACCTTTCCTTTGGGCCCACCTAAGTGTACATACACCCATAAAATTCCTTCTAACTGCGTGTCTAAGTCTCACGGAGTCAAATCAGGCGAATAGGGATTAGGAATCAACTGGAATCGTAAATCAACCAATTTCTGGAACGGAAACTAAAAAATGCACGCATGAATTGTCGTGGTTAAACAAGATTTTCTTCTTCACTTACCAGGTCGTTTCTTCGCGATTGCTACCTGCAAACGGGAAGGTAATTTCCGCCTTCTTTGGAGCCCGTTCGCCAGGCTCAGTCCTTCGGTAGTGACCGCCCCATCAACATTTGATTCATATAATCTTAAGGGTACGTATTATTGCAGTATGGAGCATCTACTCCTTTCCGCACCCGACACCTCCTATACCAGAGAGTCTACTTCAAAACCCATTTTGTGTAGGTCTTTTTATTCAACAGTGCCCCGTTTATTCAACAAATGCCCAGTTTCACAAATGATAAAGTTTAATCATTGACTAAAAATATTATAAAATGTTAACCATCATTCAATTGTGGTGTTTAGCATTCTAATATTTTATAATCATCTTAGGTAGGTACCCCTCAAATTCTTCTCAAGTTTTTATATAATCCTTTTCTTAAGTTCTCAATCGTCTTCATATTCTCCTCAAGCGTCTTCATAAGTCGCTCTCAAGGTTTTCAAATCTCTCTAATAATTACACCCTTCAGCGGTTCCTCAAAGTTCTTTTCCATTTTGTCTCATGTTCTCAATTTCCCACAAGATTAAAGTTCCCTTCTTAAAAAGTATCTCTAAAATTCATTAGTTTTTTCATGTGCACTGAAGCCCTAGCTCAGTAGTTCATCTTCTGTATCGAAAGAGATTTTCATATAATTCAGCAATTGCGAAATCATTTTCGTAAGTGCTTATTTTCTTAGTCGGCAGATATGGATCGAATTGTTCAGTTCTATATGCCCTCGAGTGCAGACTGTACATTATTTTAGCCCTTTTTTATCTATCTGCATCTTGGGTTGCCTAATTTAAGGGCGTTGTTGTACACAACCTGGGAAATTGAAAAGGAAGAACGTCTTCTGTTTCCTTATCAAAAACTTTTGTGAGAGGTCATAAAATTCAATTAATCAGGGTTTCATACTTCATTATTGATGATAAGGATATATGGTAAGCACAGTTGCTTTGCACAATGATATCAGTGACACCATATAATCAGTTTCCAGTGCCCATAGACAAAAAAGCTATGGTAATAAGTATAGGTAACAAAAAAAGTATTGTTACAAGATTACAAACAAAGCGTTGGGGGGAAGAGGAGGTAATTTTTCAGTTGTCTAGTAAAGGACGCACAAAATTTTCAATGGGTTTCAATTTCAATTTATTTTTATACCAGCTAATTCAGCCTTCCTTAGGGAAAAAGTAAAAATCCTCAGTCATTTTAATTTTCAGAGTACATAAAAAATGCTCAGTTCAATAGTTGGATCCTTCCCATTCAATGCTTCCAATTATTTGTGAGAATTTCAGTCAAAATGCAATAAACATTTAATCATAATTTAGGTAGGTACACATTTTCTCACGGACACCAATATGCAAGCCCATATACTGGAATGTTAGTCCCCAAATAAAAAAAATCATGCTGTTTCTACAGCGCCATCTTGATCAAGTGGATTAGATAAATGCAGATTGCTGGATAGGCTTGCAAAATGAGTCAAGCAACACAAATATCTTCTGCTATGTTAGAACGAGCGTTGAGAGATGTGGATGATTATGAGCTGATATATCAACAGTGTATGTATATTCCTTTCGTTCGAGTGCAAAGAATTAACTTATAATTTTGTTGCTAGCATTAACTAAATTGAAGCAGTTAACTAAAGAAGCAGAAGTACTAAAGTGTGAAACACAAGTGCTAAAAAAATCAGTTGACGAATACAAAGAATCAGTAGCATATTATCAACAGAAGCACATTGTAAGTTTAAAAGTATAAAATTTTATTTTGTACACATTCAGAAATAACAGGAAACTTGCAAAAAAATTGAGGACACACAAATAAAGCAAAACACAGCCAAACTGGCAGATTTACACAACATTCAGCAAATGGCACAAATGGAATCTCTGCTAAATTCAAATAAAATTAAACTGGACGCTTTAGGTAATTCATATACGTTGAAACTCTAACCATTGCTAAACTTACTAGATATGAAAGTACCACAACTTTCCAAGCTAACAATCCAAAAGGACAATTTAATTCAGGAAAAAATCAGGCTCGAAGAGATCGTGCAAGCAAACGATATAAAATTACAAAAGATAACAGCAGAATTAATGTAAAACATTTTCTATTCATGTTCGATAATTTCTTGATATTCCTTAAAAATACCTAATAAAACTTTTTCATTTTGGCATATTGTCTCTACACATTTGTCCCTATCTTGCACACTTGATAAAAGCGATTCGGACAAAAAGGCTTTTTTCTTTTTAGTGTTTTCAATTTTTTTTAGTAATCTTTCTTTGTAGTTCGATAAAAAGTATCCTCTCAATATTGTAACGGGCACTTCTCCAGTTGGTCTCCTGAAAAATGGCACGTTACACAGATATTTAAGCAACACACATACCAGGCTACGAAATCGGGCGGGGCTTCTTTTTCCATTTGATTTAAGACCGTCATTTTCTCGGTAATGTTGAACTCGTTCCACATAGAGTCGATCCTGTGTTGAAGTGTGGCTTTAAAGTTGTCTTGTAAGAAGAGTTTTATAAATCGGGACTCTTTTTCGCTCATATTTGATTCACTAAAACATAACTGTTTACTAACATTACCTTGGGGTGCAGCACACATACTTAAAGCAAGCAGCTAACTCGTGAATAATATTTCTTAGGCACAATCGAAACAGTTCAGGGTTTTCCTTTAAGGGTTTCAGGTCCATCTTAATTCAAATGTGTAAATTTAAATTTCTTGTGGATATTTTGAGGTACAAACTATCGTTACAATTTAAATTATTGACAGTAAATGAGTAAACTATAAATAAAAACAAAGCTAACTTCACGTCAAGCACAGTGACAGAATTTAGTTCAAAAGGAAAATTCCCCCACATAACTGGTAGCGTTCAATACATATACAGAGTGATTCTTTTTTAGGGCGCCTATGGCTGAAATAAATTTCTGAACCGAGTATTTACAGTTACCTAATTTAGAGTAGATTTATTGAAAGAAAAGGAAAAATTTAACGCATATTACCTAGTCTATGTCGTCTCTTTATTTAGCCTCGAATGGAATTTGAAAATGTGACTTTTACAATTTATTGATATCAATGCATAAACTCCCTTCGATATTTATATTTTATAGCTATTATAGGTAGTTTTCCAGTTTTCTCTCGTAGATTTTATGTAGGTAGAGGTAGGTAGGTACCAGTGTATTTATATGTTTATGTATATCACTTCCAAGAAACACTCTTAACTTTCGTAATTATAAACTTTAAGGGTTGGTGTAACTCAAAAATGTCTCGGCGAAGTTCGTGAATCAGCCAATTGTGCCAAATTGGAACAAAATGGCGGAAATAAATCTACTTACACCTGATCGGCAGAGCCGAAAAGGATTTTAATGTACATGCCATTTATCATTTTTTTCTTCGTTTCATTCATTCTCTTCCCAATTGTGTCTTACGTGCCAACACATAAAAAAACCCTTAGTATACACCAGGTAGAAGTTCTATAGGTGCCATCCAGTCAGAGTCTGCTGCTGCCGCGAGATTGGAAGTGATGCGAAACGTCCGACATTGCGACATGAAAGTTAGGTGGCTCTGTTTTAATATTCCTCTCCAGGGATGTCAACCGGAAGTATAGGGTAAGTTAAATTTGCAGTGCCGAAGGGGGGACCTCCAAGAACAGTTTTTTACCACTTGCGATTATACCAGTAGTTGGATTCTCCTCCGTTATTTTAAATGTGATGCCCTAGTTTTTATATTCATGTTTTAAATCTACACAACATTTGCAGTAATTTTAATATAAATCTATAAATACAACGATTTTTAAATTGCTTATTTGAATTTTGTGGTAGAGCAGAGGTCTGGGGTGTCTCACCACAGAACTGAACGTTAGATTACGGAATATTAATTTCTTTTTGTTTTAATTTTAATTATTTAGTTTATTATCTATCCCAATGTTTATTTTTTTTTACTTCTGGTAATCTAATAAACGTCACTTTTTTTCGAAATTTAGGGGAAGTGTACTCTTGCATAAAATAAATTCCCTCTTATAAGATATATTAGGTAAACCCATTATCTTCAGTTCAGTAGAGCCATAGACTTTACCTTAGTATGTGTAAAAACTGTTGATAATAAAACTCAGTGTTCATTGACCTAGAACCCCAGCAAATAATAAAGAAATCTTTAAACAAAAATTCCTATGTGGGACCCTTGGTAATAAATTTATATCCAGGGGGACTGGAGTGCCAAACAGGCACATTGGGGGTTCCGAAGGGTGATTACAACACATTTATTACGAGCAATGAACGAAAATAACTGTCTCTCTTACTAGCGGTGAACTCTCTTACTGGCCAAGTGACACTAGAAAACTCCCTGACCTCCTGGACAGAAGTGGACGGGTGGAATAACAAGAAATAATCATTATAAGAATTACCCTAACCTAAACTAACATCGAAGAACACTGACTGGATTTCCTTCCAGCATCACCTAGAAAAAATACATCTCAAGCATGAAAATATTACTTCGGGCCATAAAAAAATGCCCGCCAAGTCTTCGTCCCAAAATAGGTATGAAATCTTGTTTGGGCCCCGCTAACCGTAACTTATTGCTATTATCCCTTTCTCACTTTCACAGCAACTACCTACTCATTTTACTGTCTCCTGGCCTAACTTCTGAACCTATGAATATTTCAATTCACACCTTCACTGTTATTTTCAATTTTTCATGGTCACTTGGTTCCAACAATAAGTTGTATGAAGAACCAAACCACCAAGTAACCATGAAAATAACAATGATTCTGGAATGAAATATTATAAAGGTTTAGAAGTTAGGTCAAGGGGAAGTAAAATGACTAGGACTTGCTGTGAAAGTGAGAAATGGATAATAGGAAGAATTTACAAACGAGTATAATTACGTATAAAGCGGTGGCCAAACAAAATTAACTCATCACTGCTTTTTTGGACCGAAGACTTGGCAGAGATTCTTAATACAGCCAAGCAGTGTCTTTTGAGTGATTGTTTCTTGTCCATAAAAGCCGTAACATGAAGGGTTGCTCAAGAAGGGACTTTTGTATTAAGAAATTTGTGGAAGTCTGGAAGTGCACCTTAAAAAAGGAGTAGAAGAGTTAATATTGTGGTCTGAAGTGGAGAAAACGGGAACATAAAAATTGTATCAATGTCGAAGTCAGTCTTAGTGTCGTGTTTTAAAATATCTATCTAGAATCTGGATAGAGCTTTTTACCAATGACGAGGTCTTAAAATTTAGGTTCGTCTTTATACATTAGAGCGGGTTAAAGGAACAAATTTTTAATGAATGCAATGCATTCCGACGACTTTTGCTCCATTGAAGACCTTGAACAATTTAAAGAAATCGATCCAAAACAATACGAGGGAGAAATCCCCCAACATAGCAGAACTCTATTTGAGATTCTTTCCACATCTCAAGATACTATCAAATTTTACAAAATTAAAAATGTGTGTAAAGATGATATCAAAGGTTTTGAGACCTCCCCAGATTCTTAATCAGAAGTAGAATGACAGTGTTAAATATTACTACTGACGCAATAAAATATTGTTTTACGTGCTTCCTTCAGTCATAAATCTTAAACCTTCTTCAAGTAATTGTGCAAGTAACGAACTGTCTGTCTACAATTTAAATTACTTATTCAAATTCACTAAGTACTAACTTAACACATAATATACCCTTTACGAACACTATAGGAAAGTTGCAATTACTATAAAACATGTTTATTTACATAATTAATCAGCAGTCCAGTCATTCAAAATGTTCAACATGCGACTGGATTCTTTTCTAACAGCAACGTCCAATTAGAACAATGTTATATTAGGTACACATTTCACGATTGCAAATCATGAGGGGACCTATAGCTACTACGGTGAGCAATAATTACTCTTTCAATGGAAATAGGAACTACAAATGTGCGAACATGAGCAGCGAAACATATTAGGTACACGTAACGACATCTTCTCTGATTTTGTGAAAATGGGAAAGCAGAGCGTTATACGTAGACTCTATTTCTGTAGAGGCGTTGTATTTACAGTTTACATTACAGAGAATCCATTTTTAAAACAGCATTAGAACGATTCCTGCCTCAGAGACATCGATAAGCTAAAATTACAGTAATTCACGGTATTTTAAACCCCTAATTTTCATTGCAATTTAGCGAATAATATATATTTGAGTTTTAACTTTTGGAATTGATTGTGCAAAGCAACCCTTATAAAATTCCGTCGCGCATAAATTTGGTTTAGGGTGCGTTATATTCATGTTGCAGACCTTCCACGACGTTTCAATGCATTTAAAAAGCTTTATCAGCACGATGATGAGACGGAGCCTTTCCATTGTGTTGTGGAGAAATGGAACTTGCGAACATGTAGCGAAAACTAAACGTCAGCGTCGAGGAAATACAGGTAGGTAATTAATCTGAAACTGCAACGTTCAATAATTATTTCAAAACGATTAATCCGGTAGGTGTCGTCAGCACTTCGGGATCCTGAAACGTGATTATTTATCTAACGATTCCTGCTAACCCATCGGATCACTCTATATTGCTGACGACGACGTTTCGTTTGGGTTTGGCAATTCAACAATATACCTAACATTTTCTCACGTCTTTTTTTCGTGTTTGTTCTGCATAATATACCTACATCTAGGACCTAACGCATCTTTGTGTTATTAAATTTTCATGCGCCCGTGAATACTGGAAATAGTTCAAAGTAGTGGTTTTGTTTCATTGACAAAATGATATTACTTATCTATGTAATTATTACCTAGGTATCCATGTGAAAAAAACACCTATTTCGATTTAGGAAAAAGATGGTAGCTGACCTGGACTGCAGGGCAGAGGTCTTAATTTCCGGAATCGCATTCATCAATAGCATGCCGAACTTTTTGAAATTTATATGCCTTGCAATTGTCGTATAGCAGTGTGATGGTGTGGACAAATTTCCGAGGTCTTTGCTCTGTTGGCAGCAGGAGAGAACCAATTCCAACGTAAGGATTACTAAATATTTATATAATTATAGTGGACGCTACATTTGCGCATACCAATCCCTAAACAACGCCTATACAATTTATATTCATACTCTTCATTTTCCTGGAAATAATTTCCATAGATTATCTTTTCTACCAGGTAGTCTTAAGAGTATGATCAAGTCCAATTTAAGGGTGTTTGCCACGAGTTATTATTGAAACTAAATCTACCACTAAATACATACTCATACGCTTCATTTTTCTGGAGATTATTTTAAAGTTACTTGTTTCCACTATTTAAATATGTAAGGGGGTGGACAAAGCCAACTTGTGTTTGTATTTGAATTATTTCAAATATTATGAATGAGTAATACTAAATTTGCTGTCAACCCTTAAATAACGCAAATATAATTTATACTCATGCGCTTCATTGTCATGGAAATAATTTTCAAAGTTCGTCGTTTCCTCTAAGTAAACGTAAAGGGTTGCACAAGTTCAACTTATAGCTGTTTGGGCAATAATTACTTGTATACATCTTAACTCTTATCTCTCGGCACCTTTTTGGAAATTATCAGTAAAAGTACGACTAGGTACGTCGGATGGAACGAAACCATTTTGTTTTTTATCTGCATAATAATTAGATCCATTGATCCATACCCTTGCATGGATATGGATTTACATATTCCTTTTTTGCCAAAAATCGACAGCCCCAAAATTTCTCGGGAAAACACTTTTTCTGCCTTTTTTTGGCCTGAAAAAAAAATTGTCTCAGATCGACCCGGAAAAAAATTTTTCTTATAGAATGTGGCCTGTAGAATTCATAATTTCAAACAGTTCCAAGATTGGGCTGCTAGTTCAAAAGTTACAGCCCTTTGAATTTTCTTTCGAAATTGGTTTCTAGTCTATAACTTCTGATTGAGTAGTCAGATCGAAACAGTACGAATTGTTTTGGATTCTACGCACTCAAATTAATACGAAAAAGTGTTTTCCCGAGAAATTTTGGTGTAGTCGATTTTTGGTAAAATAGGAAGGTTATACACTGCTTTTTTTGAGCCTGAAACAAAAAATTGTCTCAGATCGACCCGGAAAACAATTTTCTTATAGGATGTAGCCTGTAGAATCCATAATTTCAAACAGTTCCAAGATTGGGCTGCTAGTTACAGCCCTTTGAATTTTCTTTCGAAATTGGTTTCTAGTCTATCCTTTGATTGAGAAGTCTGATCGAAAAAGTACGAATTGTTTTGGATTCTACGCCCCAAAATTAATAAGAAAAAGTGTCTTTTCGAGAAATTTTGGTGCAGTCGATTTTTGGCAAAAAAGGAAGGTTATACACTGCCTTTTTTTTGCCCCGAAAAAAAATTGTCTCAGATCGACCCGGGAAAAAATTTTCTTATAGAATGTGGCCTGTAGAATCCATAATGTCAAACAGTTCCAAGATTGGGCTGCTAGTTCAAAAGTTACAGCCCTTTGAATTTTCTTTCGAAATTGGTTTCTAGTCTATAACTTTTGATTGAGAAGAGAAGTCTGATCGAAAAAGTACGAATTGTTTTGGATTCTACGCCCCAAAATTAATAAGAAACAGTGTTTTCCCGAGAAATTTTGGTGCAATCGATTTTTGGAAAAAAGGAAGGTATACACTGCCTTTTTTTTGCCCCGAAAAAAAAATATTGTATATAATATACATCCTTATATATAGGTACAATGGTAGTATGGATGGAATTGATCTTTTCTCTCACAAATACACCATACTTACAGCACTCCCACATTAGTGAATTGCGCAAAAGCACCTTGTTTGCGTAAATTCCACACAAAATTGCTAAAGCAGTGTTAAAACGGTCTACGTGTACCGCTAATCCAACAAAAACGTTAGAAATTATATAATAATCAGTTATATTTTCTCACTGTACCTATTTAATTTTCATTGCTAGCTAAATTCAAATAAAGTTTGTAATTGGGTAAAGGTAAGGCGTTAAAATAATAAAATAAATAGGTCTATAGCCTGAAAGAATTAAAAGACTCCTTGCATAGGAAGCATAATATCACATTCCGGTGATTAAATATAATGCTGACAGTACCATGGTCCGTGTCTGGTGCAAAGTAATGACGTAATTCAAATCTCAACTTTGTTGTCAGTATATTTAAATAGGTAATACAGATTACATGCCGCTATATGGTAATACAGCTATACAACAGCACAAGATAGCAACACTTCCTTACAAGATTTTCTACTGCAACAATATCCTATCCCATGTCACCTCTTTATATTATTTACTCTATGGTATTGCGTCACCCCTAACACACCAGTTTGCAAACCACAGATCGACAGACATATACCTACCAAACAGTCGATCTTTCTTACTAGAAATCTTTTATTCTTCCATCGAATATTAGTTTGTCATTTACTATTTCTTCACTTACTACACAACCACAATCAACAAATTATGTAGAATACGTTTTATTGTATGCCAACGAAACGTGCATTATGGGCTGCCAGTAAACAGGCGAGACAGTGTCCATCAATTTCATGTTGTACTAATTCTATTTATAGCTGCAAACATCAGCATAATCCAAACCATGTGGATCTTCCTACTCTTTCTTTACTGTATTGCATGTAGGCACCCACACTTCTATCTCTGACCACTACATCCTATGTGTATCAGAATTCATATTATCCAACACCGAAAGAGGTCAGTTTGTTTTCTACAGTGCGGTTTGTAACTTACTCGCATGTTACGTTAGTGAACATGAATTCAAACTCCCACGTTTTATTGTTATTCACATTAGCGTTAACATCTGTTCGAAATTCTTCGTTGAAAGAGTATGAAGAAGGCGAAGACTGCTTAATTTCGTACGAACGCGGTGTTGCTGCCTACTTGGAGAATAACTTCGAAGAATGCGTTACCCAGTTAGAAGATGGACTGAAAAAATACTCAAATTATACCAAAGCACTCCAAAGTTGCCGTATTAAATGTAAGGAAGATGCCGAATTTGCGGATCGATTATATCCTGTTGACTTGGAGGATATGTACTTTTACGAAAAGGCCGTTCGAAACACTTTGTGCCTGATGAAGTGCCAAAAAAGGAACCCAGTTTTGGGGAAGAGTGTGACTGTGACGCCTGAAACTGATCAAATCTATCAAGACGCAAAACCGTATGAATATTTACACCTATGCTATTACCAAGTAAGTCTAATTCCCTATTAATTGGACACATGGTGCTTGCTTCTTGGCACTATACTTAGTGCATAATTATCGTTGGAAATTTCGTTGCACTCACTTAGACAAAGACAAAGGTTTATTTAGCTATTGAATAGGATAAATACGCACGGTTACCTTGCATATAGTATTGTCCGAGGTATTGTCCGTCAAGATCCGTATGTCGTAACTTTATTGACACGCAATTAGGTCATCACTTTAGTAATATTGATAACACAGTTATTAATACAACAAATGAGTTAATTTTATATGAGAAAAGCGATTAGCGTGTCCCTGGGCTTCATGGTACCCACGCCATATTCTCAATTAATTCATTTTGTATTGCCCAGATGTTTAATTTTGAGGCAAGCACATTGTATATAGTAGGTACCACGTGGAGACCTTCCAAATTTCGGGTTCACCATTGTTAGTTTTTTATTGTTGTTAAAGGCGAGTGTAATTTGTCATCTGGACCAAAATGTTTCCCATACGTCCAGTGTGTGCAGCATGTGGTTGTAATTCTTTACTTTGCCTAAGTTTTTCCATTGAATTTATAACTACCAGAAGTACTAACCCCATAAAACAGTTTGTGAGTTGTGACCAAATCCAGACTTGCAGCCCAAGTAGTGATAGTTCAATCGTTTCAATAAAGTCGGATAATCTATGCGTGATTCAGATTAACACTAGAGGCGCTGGTGTACTTTACAAATGGCGAGTGTAGGTGCCAGAGGTTTGTAAACATAGGGTTTTTAAGTGAAATTGTACTAATTTTAAAGTGAATTAGTAAAGTGAAAATGTAACTCTACTATCTGAAAAGGCTGTCTTGAATTAGCTTGAACCCGCAAGTAACTTAATTTTCTACTTACAAATAAAGATCACAATTTATTAATCAATTTCTAGCGCACTCGTCCAACTTTCCAGCAACTCGCCGAAATTCCATTACGTCGATTATACGGCCTTACTATTCGTGGGATAATTGCAATGATAGTCTGGTAAAACCAAAGCTAAAACGAGGGATACCGCAAAGTGACCTGAGGAAAGAACTAGAAATCTTACATCTTGAAACGAATAATCTGAGAACTCGTCCAGGGGCTGAGCATAACTTTTAGTGCCCCAAAATCTTTGAATTTTTCGGATACCTTAGCAAGAGACAAATTAAAGTGTCTTAAATTCTGCACAACCCCCTCACCTTTAAAACTGGAATAATTTATAAGGTAGTAATCGACGATTGCAGGACGTCCATTTTCCCCATATTCGTTAAAACGTTCCATTTGAACTTTGTGTCGTGTAGCATCCAAAGTACTGGACACTGGTCCTATCAAAACATTCTTATGATCAACGTCGTAGAGAATTTAATGGCGAGTTCAAAGAATGCCAACATTTTAAAATTGACCAATTTTAAACCATACTTATTTATATTCCAAAAACCGTTTTGGCATATCTTAATAAATGTCAAATCTTTCTCGGCCTCTTTGAGGTGGTTGGACCCTCATTGTGCTCTACCCCATCATGTTCTGGTTCCTCTCTTCCATCAGTTCGTTGCCGAGGTCGTCCACTACTTCCTCCAATAGATGAGCGATGGTGAATGTTTCTTCTTCAAGAGCCGTCGATTACTACCTTATAAATTGGTCCAGTTTTTAAGTTGAGGAGGATGCTTGAATTTGTCTCTGGGTAAGGTTTTTGCTAAGATGCGTTGTTTAGGAGTTGTAAGCGAAACACTGAAGAAAATCCGAATGTTTTTTGGGGGACCGACAGTTATGCTTAACCCCTGGAAGGGTACAAACTCATTTTCAAGACTATCTTAAGGTTTTTGAAAGATCTCCAACTTTCGCCAGGTCATTTTGAGGTGCTGTCCCTATTTTACTGGACTACGAGCTGGTCTATGACCGCAAAATAAACAATAGGTATTTTTCATCGCCTTCTTCCACTCTTATAAGTGTTCTTGATAAACGAATTCCGAAAATTAACTCATAAAAATAAATTGTAGAAATATGACGGGGTTGGCAGTGGAAAATTAAGATGCCGCACTTTTCTGCAGAATAAAAATCCTTTCCCAACCCTCTTAATTGTCCCATTTTTTTAAGTATTAAAAAATGCGGCTTGTCCGTCCGTTCCTCCTGACTTACTTCTGCGGGTTGGAACTACTTTTAGGGGATTTGACCTAGAGTCCCAAATATTTTGCAATACTTAGCCTGCATCTATGCCCTATGGAAGGGGGCTATGAATTATTTACCGGGGTGCTGTTTCGGAAAGTAAAACGTGTCAAATTTTGTATTCTGAAGAAATTGGTTTCGACCAACTGTAACTTTCCTTCGAGACTCCTTCTCAAGAGTGGAGGGTATTCACAAAGAGCGATCCCAAAACTTTTACCAAGAAAGAGACGAAATAACGAATTAGTTATTGAGAATGCTGTTTGTGTTGTTCAAAAAATACACCCCCATCATCTCCTGTACAATCTTTCTTCCAATATCCAAGAACTTCTACTATAAAATTGTATTTGTGTCAGTACTTATTTCAACAACTAGAATTTTTCAGAAAAAAGAATTGCAAAAAGCGGTCTCATCGGCATTTACATATTTAGTAACCCACCCAAAAGATGATCTCATAAGGAAATCATTACAATTCTACTCCACGTTACCCGAGGTGGATATGTCAACTGTGGTTAACTACGAGGCCAAAGTAAGTGCACTATTAGTATTTCTTATTTCACTTACAATAAAAATTTAGGAACATGTGTACCTTTATGCCCATGGAATGGACGCGTATGATAAAAAGGATTGGAAATCGGTGGAGAATAACATGGAAGAGTCGCTTGTTGCCTACTTGCAAGCTGAAGAGAACTGTAGAGCGTTATGCGAAGGTCCGTTCAATCAAGGGTGGTTTCCCGATCTAGTGCCGTCGATTGCTAGTACGTTCTCTTAGATAGTATTTTTTTATGTAATCTAATAATGATATAGATCACTACACTTTCTCATTGAAGTGCAAAAGGAAGTGCCCAATAAAGCTGAACAATTTAAATGGACAATATCATGAAGATCTTCTACCTAGCCATTACCATTACTTGCAATACGCGTACTTCAAAGGTGCGTAATTGGAGTTGAGATTGCGGCTAGTAAATGATGTTTTTTTACAGACGGCAATCTTAAATCCGCCTGTCAGGCAGCTGCCAGTTATGTGTTGTTCTATCCCAATGATGATACAATGCGAAGTAACATGGAATATTACAAGAAGTTACCAAAAGTGGATAATAGTTTCTTTACTCCTAGGCCTGTAAGTTCTTTACAAACAGCAATGTATCAAATGTGATTTTATCGTCCTTGCAGGAAGCTGTCCAGTATGTTCGCCGTTTTACTTACGAGAACAGGTTGCTGAAGTTTATTGACAAAGAGTACAAATTTCAAGATAATGAAGAAAGTCCAGCTGAGGTATTTATTAATTTAAAGTGAGATTTTTTTATATTCTACTACTAAATTATGGGGTTTCAACAAATTTATTTATATTTTCTGGAATAATGTAATTAACAAACGATTATTACTAATTTATGCGTTCTTCATACCTACAATGCGCGTCTCATCTACAACATGGCCCTTGATTTCTAGTCTAGGCTGCGTTGTCGATGTCCATGATCATCGACGACCGACATTGTTGAAGGATGAGACGTGCACGTCGCTAACTTTCCGTAAAGATAAACAATTTCTTAACTCATACGGAATAATCTAAGTATAATTTATTTCAAATCAATTCCAATGCTTAATGTTGCTACAGTCGTGTTGAACTGTATATAATTTGCTTTCTGAGGAAACCTAATATAGTTAATTTTGCTGTATTTATTTGTTCTTTTTATTAATTATCTCTTTGTGCTTCCAGGAAGTTACTTCTACAGCAGCCGACCACAGCAATATAAGTTGATTAATTGTGATGTAGATTTAGGAAGTCATTGTAACTGCTAATTTTTGTAAAGTCCAAACTCATTAAATAATCTTACAACTTGGATGTTCTTATTGAACACCCCTGGCGCGATCCCTTTTTCAATAAATGTCTGTAGTTGTTTTAGAAATTTACTTTGGTGACGTACTGTACATGTTTCGTGGTGTGCACTACAAGTTTATATTTTGAATATGACCCACCGTAGTAAGTGTGTAATAAATGAAGATACAGGAAAACCCTCCAGAATATTCACACCAAGAAGAATCGCTTCCAAAATTTGCTTGCCAACCACATATCACTCGACCTCTGGGTGACTGTGAGCAGCCAGAAAGACGGACAGACGAGTAAACTAATTGGAACACAAGCAAACATCACAGACTTAAAAACAAGAAGCTCCGTCTCCGCTCTCCAATAGTATGACGACGAATTTATGTTTCAAAAATAAACCTTTAGTAGGTACAGAAGCATAGAGTAAACAACGTTTAGAGATACCGCGCTGTGTAAATTTTTGTCGGCTAGGGACTATCCTTGAATATAGATGGCCATTGAATGCATCAAGTGTCTCCCTCTTAATTCCAGAATAGTGTACTTATTTTCCGTCTAGGATTCAAACCTACGCAATTGAAAGCTCGCGAGTACCAAGCTTTTTATGATATAATTATGTAACTGTATACATGTCGTACGTCCCACGCATTGCATACCTATAAATTGCGCAGCCAGCAAAATGGTTTTTATTTTCATAACTTGCGTCTACATTGTGACTGGATATTATTATTTATAATATGTGCGCGCCAAGAATTAAAAAAAAAGGGTTATATTATTGAATGAAGACATGTTTAAATACCTATCTACATAATGGGGGGCCATAAATATTTATTAATTGAAGACATAAAACCCAGATATTTGCAATATTCGGCAAAATAGCCTTTAATCGGGGTATATTGACCTTTTGTTTTGCTTAATAACCTACTGTAGATTCCTATATTTTGATTTGATTACCAGAGAATTTAATTTGACCTCATCCGGCAATCTACGCTAAATCTTTTAAGTTGCATGGTTGCACAATAAACAATAATTAAAACGCGATGTCTCTTTCGTATCGTGTTTCGTGATAATTGGGAGCATTTGTGGTCTGTGGATATGGGTATCTAAGAAACTATCGACCTATTATATTTAATAGTTTCCGTTTTTCCCAAAATTTTGGAAACATGCATGGTTACGCGACTTGTTAGCTGCTTTGAGAAATTTTATCTTCTCCATACATCGCTTCATTGCTTTATCAAAGGAAAATCTATGGTTAGCGGTCTATTCAACTCTATTGAGTCTATTTTGAATTTTGATATGTCCAAGGTTCAACCACCACCTACTAAACCTAATACGGAATTACCTACTGGAAATGTCCATCACTGGATCACATTGTAATTTAATATCTCGATCGAGTGACGTAAAGATCCAATGTGACATAAAAAAGTTTATGTGATTTAGTCGAAACCCACAAGTCATGAAAATTTTAAGTTAGCACCATTAGCAAGATGAGAAAAAATTACTAAGGGTTTTGTTAATGGTTATTTGTTCGTATCTTTGAAAATAAATGAACGCCACCGCATTTTCTAAACATTTTTCGGTTTTTGACCATAAGTTCGTTATTTGTAAAGCTACAAGAAACTCCGAAAGGGAAAATTAATCAGCATAAAATTCTGCAATTCTGTGCGACTTTGTATCACACCACACAACACTATTCGAGGATTCCCCCAGGTGCATGGCGATCAAACTGTTCTACCATTTTCCACAAGAATTGCGGACGCCTACGTCGGCCAAAAAATTTAAAAGTCAAGTCGGTGAATTTTTCACATTTTCACCAACAACTCATACCTCGACTCATACCATCACGTCAACGAATACCTCCAACCAAGGCCTGCGCGACTATGATTTATTGTAATATGGATATGATGTAAATGATCAGAAATTGGGGAAAAATAATTAAAACAGCTGAATTTTTCCGCGGGTGAAATCCCGGGGGTTGAAAGGGGTGGAAAGTGGTACTTGGCAATTTGTGGTAATAGGTACATATTAATTTCGGGCGAAAATGTTCAATGTAACAGTTATAGAGAATAAAATGAACAACTTTTCTATCTGCGCTATTTTCACATTACTTACCTCTAATTTTCCTAGAAAAACCGGAAAAACCTTTTTTCGTTTTTTGTTCTTACTTTTGCGAAAAAAAGTCGTAAAGGTTTGAAATTTGTAGGAAACAGCTACAAAAAAGGAGACAATTTTTTTGGGACCGGAAAATTGAACCGTTTCCGAGATCTCACGATTTCTGAAAAAAACACATCTTTTTCAAGGAGATGAAAAATCTATTTTTTTCATCGCACAGAGGTGCGGGGGGTAGTAAAATTTTAGGGAAGACTTATATTTTAATAAACGAAAATAAAAATTATTATTCCTATAGAAAAACTTCTAGAAAATCGCCAAAAACTGGAAAAACAGATTTAAGATATACATGATTTTTGACATGATCAATCAACGTTTTGGATGTTAATAAAGATTTTTTCGAAATCTATCTTCTTGCTTATCTTTAATGTTTGCTAAAATATTGTCTTTTGTTTCCTTATGCTCAACGTTTTAGTTAAAACATCTTTATTATTTCTTTTTTTCTGCATTTTTACCACAATAAAAGCAATTCGAAGTAAAATCGCTTCCTGAACAATTTGTTTTTGTTCACTTACTCTTCTTCCTGGCTATGTTTTACAGCTGATGCAATTGCGTTGGGCTTGTTGATAAACTTGCAAAATAAAATTCGCTATAAGAACGTCTGTTTTACCGGCCAAAACAATAAATGATTTGAGAATTGAGATATAAAACCTGGAATAAACTTCATGATAGATTCATCTCCTAGGAAAACTGGAGGTTATGCTGGTTATGTGAAAATAGTGCAGATACAAAAGCTGTTCATTTTTTTATTCTCTATAACTTTTGTATTGACCATTTTCGTCTAAAATTAATTGCTTTCCCACAATTTGCAAAATATGTACCGCTTTCCACCCCTTTCAACTCCCGGGATTTCACCCGCGGAAAAATTTAGCTGTTTTAATTATTTTTCCCCAATTTATAATCATTTCACCTGCCTGAAAAACCCGGTTTTGCCCCGTAACTAATTTTTTTTTTAAATAAATTATTTTAGCAGCTAGCTTTTTAGTCTGGACCACGGTGGTATACGGTGGTCTATACCACCGTGGCCTGGACTAATATGGAAATAAATGAAATGAGACATTTTGATAAAATATGGATTTTTGTGTAATTTGTCGTTTGCTGTGGAATAATCCATGAAAAATTGTATAACAGAACGATTTAAAAAATGTTTTTTACGCATAATTAACGAAGTAAATGTGACTGTTTCGTAATTGGTAACGTTCCCATTTGTATTCTGTGTCAAGACGAATCCAACGATATACCAATGACCATACCAATACGTTCATACCTCTATGAATCGAGTAGGTAACTCTTATTAAATTGCAAGTTTTTTTTTGCATAGTTATCACTTTACCGGACTTTTTTTGTCAAAAAATCGTATGGAAAGTGGTACTTTTTTTCACGATTTTTACTATGCGTTTCCATGGCGTTTCGTCCTGTCTATGGCCAATTAATAGCTCAATTGTTGAGTGACAGAAAATGGCGAATGTCAATGATATTATGCAATTATAGATTATTAAGGATCACTATGCAAAAAAATTTCGTGTACAACACATGTTGAAAGTGTCTTTTTTTCATGAATTCGCTTGATTCAAACTGCAAATTCATGAAAAAAAGTAACACTTTCAAAACACTAGTTGTACAAATAACTATTACAATTGAAAGTTGTTTCTCTCAACTTTTTAACATTTTTTAAGGTGTTCGGTTAATACTGGATTATGATAGTTAATTTTTAGATAAACAGAATGAAATCAGCTGGTAGGTCCCTCGTTGTGAATGAACTTACTCATACTATAAATATGTAGCGGTTTCGAATTACTTACTACCTACACTGGAGTACAGTTGCAATCGCAACTTTCATGAATGATGACGTAATTTCATTTAAAGCTCAGCTTTGAAATATCTTAAGCTCTTTTAAAGGCTCCTATAGACGGATATAACAGATTCGAATACAGCAACCAGCATTTGTCACTAGATAGCAGCATTGCATGGCCATAAATTGTTATAAACCAGCAATCCCTATCCCGTGGCATCTCTAAACGTTATTTACTCTATGGCTACAGCTTATTATGTGGTGGCGCTTGCTATTAAAAAAAACACACAAAATAACACACGCGAAACCAAATAAATTGTGGTATTGACAAAATTACTAGAAAAGTTACTAGAACTTGCGCCAAACTTGCCAGTGAAATAGAACTTTCTCTATTTATTTTTCTTGCACCTGAATTGCGTATGAACATGCGCAGTAACGTATCTCTAACTTGCATTGCTCTTGCATTGCACGAAAATTGCCTAATGTAAAGCGGTTTTTAGTTAAGGCCGCTTGACATGGAGCAATACAACGCGCAAGAACTTGCAGAAAGAAATTGCAAGGTCAAATCCTTGCATGCAATAAGCATTGCATGGTATTTGACATGGTGCAATTCTATTTCAATTGCCACATGTCTGCCAACAGAAGAAACATATGGATTTGTCAACAAAGTAGTTAACCTCAAATGAAAATTAAATTTTGATTGCTTGAAGAAACATGAAAATTACAAGAATAAATAAGATTAATAAAAACAAGTAATGAGTGCGTCTCTCAGCATCATAGTTGCCGCCGCTGTATTTTACTAGGTTGGTGACACAAAAACAACTAGATTTATCCCTAGAATTGCACGATTCATGCAAGAAAAATAGCACCGGTCCTATAAAAATTGCATGCAAGTCTCTTGCAGCAATTGATCAGCTGGCTTTGAACTGCGCATGCCTTTCGCAATTTTTCTTGCAACTTGCATGCAATTGCAATTTTGCATTTGAGCAAAAATATCCTTGCATTTATAGGTTAAGAATTCGTGATCATAAAACTTCTATGTTCAGTTTGTTCACGATTTTAGCAATCATGATCATAAGATCACACTTCGAAAGAACGTGATTTGACAATCTAAACGCGTTTCGATCACCCAAAGAAAGCGCCTCAAGTATCAAGTATGACGGATTCACTCCCTACCGCAATGTGTCGTGGCCATTGAGTTAGAAAACTTGGAGGGAATCAAATGCATGGCCAGACGTAGACCACGGGAACCAAAAGTGGCCTCTAACTGTGATTAAAGTACCACACCACTTCCGTTATCATTAGCGTCTCACTTCAGTGGCGTAGAGATATAATTTTCTTTCCACTAATAGGAATAATAACAAAAAAACGTATAGAAGGAGTAAAATACATGCTCGTGGTAAAGTAAACAAAATAGACAAGGATGGGAAAGTATGCAGATTTAATATAATCATTGATTACAAATCTAAATATACATTGATGTGTTCCATTAGTATAATTAAGGCCAGTTTACTATAGCCACTACAACTTGACAACTTCCATTAAATTCACTGTGTTGATCAATAGCTACAATTGATTGGTTGGTCTCAGGTTCATTACAAGTTTTGATAGTACCTACTGCATATTTGACGAGATATTTCATGAACATTTTCCGGTGCAACCTTTGGTCGAAATCACAGTCAATGAAGCGTTGTGAGCACAAAAGTAAATTTCGAGAGCTGTTTTTGAGATATATTTACAAATGTTAGGTAACCATTTTGCTCGAAGTACTGGTTCGTTTGGAAAACTAAGAAACATAAACTAGGTACCTACAACCTCGCCTACAACATGATAAATGACATGTCTTACCGATGAAAGGAAATGCCCTGTTTCTTCCCTTTATGAGAAATTTTGCATGATACGCAGCTAATCATTCTCAATTCACAAAATTGCGTGTGATAAAAACACTATCGGCAGTTAGTTATTTATATAAACCAGAGCACAAACCGATCCGAAATTATTAGGTACTTTAAAATGGCAAATTTAATAAAATTGAATTTGGTGGAAAACTGACAGTGACAGGACCCCATATATTATATATATATATGCAGGACCCGCGTTTTCATGTGTCAAATAATGTCGGTCAAAATGTACCTTCACGGGAACCTATCCACGCGAGTGGCCTCTATCTGTGGCAACTTCCGTCTACAAAAATTCTTACCCCCTCTATCATTATATTCCCTCCATTAGTTTTCTAACTCAATGGTCGTGGCGCTGTAATTTGCGAGCGGTTTTCAACGTCAGTTTCCTGTATATATTGTTTAATAAAGTATTTAAACAATGGTGAATGGTGAAACTATAAGCTAGACCTGCGAAAAATTATCGGTACCTATATCGTTATTTATCGATAAATATTGATTATTGAAATCTATCGATTTGATCGATATATCGATAGATCTCGATTGTCGATACTTATCGATTATCGATAATCGAGAAATATAGGTATATGGATAATATCTGGACCATCAGGATATCTGGACGATGGACTATGAAAAATCTATAATAACCCATAATCAATAATTATCGATATACTTTATGGAAAAGATTACCAAACTGGCAACTGGAGCTGCAATATGATACATCACAATTTATTATTTTATTAATTATAATATAACTACTTAAAACAATTAAATAAAAATGAAAAAAAGACTTCACAAATCGATTATAGTTTTCTCTATATACTACATACCAAATGTACCTACTGTTTTAGAGAACTTTAAATATGTTTGTGCAGGAAGGTCCAAACGGTCCGTTCGCTTAGCTACCCATTTGACCCATTAGCCCAAAAATAAATCAGTTTTTTGTATCGTATACTGTACCTCAAATCTCAATATCCCAGAACGCTAATTCTACGGTGGTATCAGATGAGTTGTTGTTGAGTCACCTTTGAAATTTTACATAGGAAATGGTACAAAGGCGACTCGACCGCCAGTCCGCCACTCATTTTTGATAGCCCTCTACTTCTTCACCTGTTATGCGATTCGAATGACATTTCAAATAAAATGATTGCTTTCAAAGCCTACCACGGCTAATGAAATCACTCACAAAATTCCTATCCGATAATACAAAAAAGCACTCACGTATCTCGCACGATCTCATTTTGGAAGGGACCCTTGTATCTCCAAATGTTTAGAGAAAAATTGCCATATGTCAAAAACCGTCGTGGCAGATAGTTACGTAAATTTCAAATGCGTTAAATTCGGAATAAAATGGCGCATTTACAAAAAAATGGAAAATATACAGCATGTTTCTATTTTTAAACATCCGCGTGACGCCAACAACCGGTATTTACGGAAGCAGTGCCCTTAAAAAAATATACTCCCCTGGCACTTTGACCAGCCAATGGTACACGCTACTTTAATTATCAAAAATTAGACTGGTAGTCAACTTTTTATAATTATGGATAGGTACCTATACCATAAACGAACTTGCAGAAGTTGTAGTTTTTGAATACCTATACCTACAGTGTGTTCCAGATCGCGTGGAATTGCATGGATAACTTTCTTATTATAGAGAATTGGTTAAATGGGCAATGTTTTGCAGTTTTAGATGCTTACTTAAAATTTCCTTATAGAAATTCAAAATGACGCATAGGTTCGACGTAAATTAAAAAAAAAACTAAAATAGGTCATTAATTTCTTGTATGTCTTATATCAAGGTAGAGGTACTTATAAAAAAAGTTATATATACAAGTTACTGTCTTTGATACGCTCTACGAGTATTATTTTTTACTTGTAGGTTACGCTTAATTTAGTATTGATGTAAAACCCGAATGACTATTCCCTCCAAAACTAAAGAAGGTCCCGTTTAAATTTGAAAAGTGACACGTGATAAAACATCTAAGGCAGGGCCCCCTTAAGTTAGTTGTAGACAACGCTTTGAACTGAAGCACGGTAGGGAAGGAACGTAAAATAAAACACTGAAATTGTGAAAAGTTTGTTTAATAATTATTGTGATTACTATGTTTGTAAAAGCTTGGAAATTTAAGTCGAAATAAATTATACATTGCAAAAATAAACTTTGAAAATGGTAGTTCACCGAATAAAAATAGAAATAAGCTGGAAAATCTTTGATGCAATTTATCGCACATAGATTCTAAACTGAAGAGCTTTGATTAGCGTAATCCCGCTCCCACAAGATAGGTAACCAGCTCCTGGTTTCGAGCCTACAGTTGAATGTCGAAGACAATCACGGAATTATAGGTGCCGTAACTCAATTTGATTATAGTTTTTACCACCCCCGTGACTGCTTCATTCACGGAGAAAATTGTTGATTACAAACAACAAGTCAGTACATACATCAAACGAATCGGTAATTTCCACATATTAAAATATAATGATCAAAATTTATGTGAATGTAACTTCTGGATCAAGACCAAGTAATCAACATCAATAAACATAAATTAAGCAAACATTACACCAAAAACGTAAACAATTACAAATAAAAGGATAACGGTTTAAACATTTTATTCATGCATTGCGGTTAAACCAAGTAAATTTCAAAAACAAATAGTAAAAAATGCGCCATACAAAACACAAATATATAAAGATAGATAAAGATATAAAGAAATGCAAAAAACTACCTGTATTAAATAACACAAAATAACAATAAACATTTTTATGGAGCGACGCGTTCACGACTGCCATTCAAGACAAGATGCCTAACGTAACCCACGTTCGTGCTCTCCAGATGGCGCAAATCGCTTTCCCCTCTTAAAAATTGCGTGATTGCCAACTCTCAAAAATAGGTGCATCGTCGTAAGTTGTATATACAGAGTGGTCTGGGTGGAACCTTTCAACTTCATGAATTTAAAGACCCTCTTGTTAACATCAATGCTGTCCAATACAGTGATACTTTCACTCCCTTGCGTACAGCCATAAAGAATAAACGTCCTGGGATGCTTACGAAAGGCGTGATCCTCTTTCACAATAACGCCCGTCCGCATATCACTAACATCATCATGTCACATTCTCACAGATAGCGCGACTGAGGTGGGTGGTACCCCCCTTACAGCTCGCATCTGTTACCTTGTGACTTCCATGTCTTTGGACTATTAAAGAAGGCACTCAAGGGACAGCGATTCCAGTCGGACGCTGAAGTCAAGGAGGCAGTTTTCACATAGTTGTCAACATCCACAGGAGTGGTATGAAAGCAAAGCTATACTTCCGAACTCAACATGTGATGTAGTTACTGCGTCCCAGGTAGAACGCACCATAGGGAAATGGCAACGTATTTTTTTACGAAGGATCCACGAGATCTTTGAAATTAGCGTTCAACATAGAGATATACTCCAATCTTTTTCTAGCATCAGGATCCTTTGGGAAAAAATAGGTTAATTCTGTTTGTCTATGGTACATGCGTTAAACCTGGGACAAACAGAATGTATTCTTGATATAATAAATATGTATAATTTCATCATTTTAAAGTTCAAGCTTTATTCAAAACCTAAATTAAGTTAAGGCTCCTCTATTAATTCAGATAATGTTCATACTGGTAGCAGTTGTTAAAAATAGCAGAATTGATCTGGAACCTTTATTTAATACTGCACAATATGGTAACACAAGCACTAAACTAATAAATAAATATTGTGTGTATAATTGGTATGATTAAGTAAATTACTCACAAATGAAGAATATCGTTACAACACTGTTTGCTACTTAATCTTGATTTGACATAAATTCTTACAACTTGTTACATATCTCATTGGTGAATTCAGAACATTTTGATTTTCCACCTAAGTCACCTGTCAAATATTTAGCTTCTTTGATTGTATTAAAACAAGCCAATTGTATCCTATCTGCCTGTTCATTTAAACCCATATACTTGAGCATCATTACAGCTGATAATAAAAGGGCAGTTGGGTTAGCCAAGTCTTTACCTGCGATATCAGGTGCAGTTCCATGTACCTAGGGTTTAATTTGTACCATACAGTTAGTCTAAACCTAGTACTTACAGATTCAAATAGTGCACCGTTAATGCCAATATTTCCCGATGGTGTTAATCCTAATCCACCAACAAGACCGGCACACATATCTGAAAGAATATCTCCATATAAATTTGGCATTACCAATACGTCATATTGCGAGGGATCTTGCACCATATTAAGACAGACAGTATCTAAATATTTTTCTTCAAACTTAACATCAGGAAACTTTTCTGCCGTATCACGACAACACCTTAAGAACAGTCCATCAGACATTCTCCTGTAGAACAGCAATTATTAAATATTGTACGTAAACGTTAGAATATTTATACATAATATTGGCCTTATGCACAGCAGTAAGTTTACGACGTTTGTTCTCCTTAGTATATTTAAACGCAAATTCGGCAACTCTTCTGGAAGCATCTTCTGTGATTAATTTAATACTTTGAACAACGCCGTCAACAATTTCGTGTTCAATGCCAGAATATTCACCTTCCGTGTTTTCTCTGATAGTTACCACATCAACATTATCGTACAATGTCTTATATCTAAAATAAATTAAATAAAGAATTAAAAAGTATATGTACTGATATTCATACCCTTCTAATGAACGACAAGGTCTTACGTTTGCATAAAGACTAAATTCTTTGCGGAGTGCAAGATTCAGTGATCTATGTCCTTTTCCTACAGGAGTCATAAGTGGGCCTTTCAGGCCAATTTTATTACGATTTACCGAATCGATAGCTTCTTGTGGTATACCAAATTTACCATCCGGACCCTGTTAATGCTAATTAAATACGACACGTTTCAACACAAGAGAAAATTTTACTTACACGCACAGGTGTCACATCAACACTTTCCCATTCGATGGGTACTTTAGCAACTGCGAAAATTTTCTGAACTGCAGTGGAAATTTCGGGGCCTATACCATCTCCAGGAATGATTGTACATTTCCTTATTTGACTAGAATAGTGACGCGCATTTTGCTTTGTGGTGGCCTATTAACATAGGAGAAAAATAATTACCCACTAAAAAGTCTGGGATAACCTACAATTCAGACATGGTGCCATATTACATAATCAATATTTTAGATTATCGAAAGTGTTTATTTTTATAAGTACTGCCCTATTACATAACAGCAACAATTAAAAATAGTTTAAACTATAACATTAAAGCAATGAAATATAAAAATCTTTTAAGAATACCTCTCAAAGGTGTTTTAATGTCTACTGTTATCTCAAATTTTACACAGATTAAAATTAAATAAATACTTACAAATTGCCTGATAATTCTTACGGCCATTATGGCAAGTTTAATAAATGATTTATTTAATTTTTAAATTAATAGATCTGCGCTGTGCATATAAAAATTCCTGGAGGTTTGATAGATAGCTGCAGATGGCGCAGCGAAGGTTGCGGTTTAGCAAAAATAAAATGCGGCTATTTACATACTTTGAATGCAATAAAAAAAGCATATGACGTAGTAGAGAGCAAAAGAAGTAATTTTGCAAAATCTGTATCAATACCACGATACACTCACCTATCGTGATCGATTCCTACGCGGATTATACCTTGTGCCCTCCGAATTGCAATGGCGTCTAAATCTAAACGTGACTCCGCATTGGTACAAGCATTGAATTTATAATAGTTATAAATTCAATGGTACAAGAGTATGTAAAGTCAATGGTACAAGCCCTGTGCTAAAATACTATAAATTATAATACAGGATTGCTCGATCACTGAATTTTTTCGCCGCGTGTAGTGACGTCACTGGCGGACCCAGACGCACCGTTTGCGAATGATACTCAGATCTATATCTCATTCCCTAAAAGTAAATTTCAAAGTGCAGTACCTAAACAATCTAAATCTGGACCTCCAACAATTGTCAACAAATTCTAATAAATATAATCTTACGTTAAACTCTAATAAATGTAAAGTTATGCTATTTGGGAGTAAGAGGAATAGACTGCCGTTAATAAATCTCACTCGAGTATCCATGAACGGTACAATACTCCCACTTGTGGATAGTGCTAACAATCTTGGGCTCATTATGGATTCAGTTTTGCGATTTAAGTTGCATCATATCTCAAAATTAATACAAAAATCATAGTTTACGCTGAAATGGTTGTATTCTCATAGGCATTCATTAAACCAACATTTAAAAAAGTTGCTTTGTGATACTCTCATTTTATCGAATTTTAATTGTGATGTCGTCTACAGTTCAAATTTGGATTCCTGTGACACACAGAATAAGACCTTCTTCTGTATTCTGTGCTGACAATTCAACTCATGTATAAAAAATCGCATAAGCCGCAGTGCTATTGTCACTTTGACAGCGGCAAAAGTTACCTGCATCTTTTCCAGCGACAAATTCAACTATCGGCAAAAATATGTGGAAGTTATTGAATTGCAACTCATATATCACACATAGATTCTAAACCGAAGAGTTTTTGATTATAGGCTGGTTCACTTTTCGAAGTTTTTCTGTCCTAGGAGCATTTCAGACAACATTTGGCCAACAAGACTTTTTTTTACTAATTGGTACCTGCGCTTGTTGTACTAAAATCTTTAAACTAAATAATTCATTTATGTTTGATCTAAGGTAGTAGTTTGTTGCTATATAAATAATTTATTATAATTTGTCATTAGAAACCGATACAATAAAAAACGTTGTTCATATTGATGTTTAATAGCAGTTCTTATTCAATTTAATACCATCAACATGGTAGCAGAGCGTGGTTCTTTCTAAATATTCGTTGGTACGTCATTCAAAGAAAATCTTGGTTGCTAGCGTGGAATAGATAGCGCAGCGGATCGATAAAATCGGAATCAATTTTTTTTTGACAAGAGACGACACGAAAAATGGAAATTCAAGGAATAGAAAAACTACGGGGTATTGAAAATTGGAGTATTTGGAAATTTGCTATAAGAAATTTATTACGAGGAAAAGTGGACGCGTATGAAGTTTGCATTGGGGAAATACTGAAGCCAGAGCAATTAGCTATTGAAGATAAGGACTTTAATCAGGCAGAATACGATGCAAAATTCAAGGCTTGGGACAGGGGAGATCGTGCAGCAAGTCAGATAATTATTAAATCTCTAGAATCAAAGGTTATGGCGTTGTTGGTTTCATGTGAAACGGCACGGGAAATTTGGCTCAAATTGCATTCTATTTTTGAGCAACAAACCAAACAAGCTGCGCATACTGTTCAAACTGAATTTTTCAATTTTAGTAAAAATCCTGCTGAAAATATGGTGACTCACATTGCTCGTTATGAGGAGCTGGTTCTGCGCATGCAGCAGCTGAATGTGAAACCGGACGAGTCTTCACTCGTAGTAAAGATGCTCGATTCTCTCTCAGATGACTACGAGGGCCTTCAACAAGCTTGGTGGGCGAGATCTGAACAACAGCAAACATTTGCGAATTTGGTTGAAGTGTTGACATCGGAAGAAAAACGTCGGCAGCAGAAAACAGGAAAACAGGAGGAGTTAGTCGCACTTTTTTCTAGTAAGGCCTACATAAAAAAGAAATATGCCAATAATGGTGGCAATAATTTTAATAAAATTAAATGCTACCGGTGCGGACGTGTGGGGCATATCCGGAAAAATTGCAAAAAGGGAAAAGAAGACAGTGAAGAAAAATCGAAAGACGAGGCGTTCGTATGTGAGGCTCTCAGCGCGGAAGATGGCGATGTTTGGATTGTTGATTCCGGAGCTACAGATCACATAACTCGTCATCGTGAGTGGTTTTTGTCTTATGAGCAGTTTGCAGTTCCCTTGAAAATTTATGTCGGCGACAAATCAACAATGGACGCTCTCGGAAAAGGAAGTATAAAATTTCAGGCTTATGTTGACAGAAAGAAAATAGAATGTCACATGGAAAATGTTCTTTTTGTGCCAGGGGCACGAAGAAATCTTTTTTCGGTCACGGGTGCGTTGGACAAGGGCATGAAGTTCAGATCTTCCAGCGAAAGATGTGAATTCACTCGGGATGGAGTTGTAAAAGCATACGGAGTTCGAATGGGTCAATTATTCAGGATGGTGATCCAAATAACATTTCCGAAAGATTATGTAAATGAGGCCAATCTAACGACGAAAATTACACTTCAAAATTGGCATGAAAAATTCGGACATCAGAACAAACAACATGTCAAGAAAATCTTGAAAAACCAGAAAATCGACTTCATCGAGGACGAAACGTTTTGCGGAGCTTGCGTGGAAGGAAAACAACACCGGAGTACTTTTGAATCACGAAATCAGCGTGCTACGACGACTGGAACAATTCTACATGTTGATTTGTGCGGATCAATGGAATGCACTTCGTTGGGTGGCGCTAAATATTTTGCGTGTTTTACTTGTGATTATTCAAGAATGCGATTGGTTTATTTCCTCAAGGAAAAATCAGAAACTGCTTGAAAAATTGTGGAGGTGTTACAAATCATAAAAACTCAACTTGGTAGATCGATGAAAACCCTGCAGTGCGATGGCGGAAAAGAATTCGACAACAGCGAGGTTCGAAAAATATTAAAGTTGGACGGGGTGAATTTGGCGGTGTCAAATCCTTATACGCATGAACAAAATGGATGCGCTGAACGAACAAACAGAACGGTGGTTGATTTGGCTCGAACAATGCTTTTGGCTAAAAAATTGCCAAAATATTTGTGGGCGGAAGCGGTCAATACTGTTGTTTACATTTTGAATCGCAGTGGACCAAGCGGAGTTGAAAACAAATCTCCTTACGCATCCTGCCGCTAAAAAAACTATTACATTATTGTTAAAACAATAGTTAACTATTATTATCGTGACGTACGTCAGGAATAACATTATAATCCGTTTTTAGATCGAAAAAATCGGTCGCATGAGTGAAAAAATCAACATTTTCGGAAATTGGCCGCCATCTTGAATTCAGAACTTCCTGTTCAGATTTCGAGATGCCAACATCGATATTCGTGTTCAGCAGGTCTAAATTAGTAAAAAACGCCTATTTGGCCAAATGTTGTCTGAAATGCCCCTAGAACCTGTAAAAACGCTGCTTTTTATAAAAGTGAACCAGTCTATTAGCCACGATGCACTTAAAACGGTATGCTCTTGCGCATCTAGCGTGACGTCACGTGCGAACAAAACCACAGAATATAGAGCAAAATTACGCTTCTTAGATCGACAAATCACACTGATTTTGTGTAGAGATCGTCGCGGGGGGTATTTCTGGGATTTGGTGATCGTATGAAATAAACTCGAATCAAAAATATTGGCCCTAAACATGAAGTGCGGCTTTTTCAGTAAATATTATGTAATTAATGCTTTATTAAAAGATCGAATTTCTCTTCCGTTTCCCTTATATTTTGATTTTCATTTTACGTGGTAGTTTTAAAGTAGGTAAAGCATCAGGTTTTCAAATGTCCGCTGTTTTTAAAAGTAGGTTTAATTAAGAAATCGTTCCCTTACCGGTGCTTCAAAACGGCTGGCTTCAACATGTTCAGAGCAAATACAGGCTATAGAATTAAACAGCAATGGAAAGACTTAAATACACCACTTAATATTAATGTAACACCATTTCTCAAGTTAATTTTGTCCTTACGACGACTTGCAACAATCCATTTTTGAGAAAAGTTTTCAATTTTCCGAAATCGAAAGTATTTTATTTCCGTTCCTTTTGTTTTTCTATTAGAATTGCCCCATTGAGCCACTACAGAACCTGGCATTTTGGAAATTTCACTAATGATTAATTATTAGCTATCAACAAATTAACGGTAAACCTCGTAGATACAAGATACAACTTATAAGTTGCAAAACTGTCACGCGTGACATGTGTACTACTAGATCGGCCCTGGCGTAAACATTTGAATTTTGGCGCCACATGTTCGCAGGTGACGTAATGCGCAGTAGAAAACGCGTTTGAGAAAAATAATGAGCATACCGTGTGTAAGTGTATCGTGCTATTAGCGTAATCGTGCCCCCAAGATTTGTAGCCTGAGCTCTTGTTCGGGATTTCTCAGCTTAAAGTTGAGACTCGCGAGCAGTTCCAGATTAGAGTGTCGTAACCCATTTGGTTACAGTTTTTCCACTCCTGTGACCGTGTCTTCACCGCGAAAATGCTAAGTTTACAAACAACCAGTCCGTACACGTATCTACCCACATCAAAACAATTCGATAATTTCCACATGTTTAAAGGTTTAAGGTTTACGTAAACCTACGCGGTCGCGGTCGCGTTAGCGGGCGTAGTGGCGGTAGCGGTAGCGGTGGCGAACGTGAGGCCGCACACTAGGGCGTTCAATCCGCGAGATCACATGTTTTTTACGCAGACTACCAATCGATTGAAATATGGCATTTGAAGTACGGGATAGATTTGTTTCTTTTTTTAATGCCTAACAATGTACTAAAACTATAAACAAATACACTTACCATCACCAGGTTTGTCCAGTATCATGGCCA